TGGTTGTTTTGTGTGTGGTTGTTGGGGAGGGAGGGGGGGGGGGGGGGGGGTCATGATGATCCACTCTCCCACCTAGTCACCCCCTCTGTCTGTTTACAAACATCCAACCCAGAGCTGTCAGCTAACATAGAAGGAGCATGGCTCTCCCAGATTAACCCCTTCCAGCCTGATCCACACAAGAGGACAGCCATGACAGTTCTTCTATGAAAGCTAGATGATTTATGAGGAAAGCAGCATCCTCAGGAGCTCAAAGCTTGCTTGCTTGTGCAGCACAGTCCCCTTGATATGTTCTCAAACATGCAATTCAAGATTGCAATAGCTGTGTTGCGTTGCATGAATTAATGGCATTCATTTATTTACTAAAGGCAAATAGAGTGTTCGCTATGCAAAGGAATTTTCCCTTATCTTAGTGAATGTGGTGAAAATCAACTTTTACACAGAATAGCCAATCACATGCAAGGAGTATCAACAAAACAGTTACTTTCCTTGCACGTGATTGGACGATGGCTTCACACTCACTAAACTTAGGGGACATTCCCTTGCAAACTCATCAGTCTATTTGCCTTTAGTAAATCAACCCCTATGTGTCGTGTGCTGTGAATTAAAACAGTGCGATCAAGGAGACGGGCACAGTTGCTGTGTTTGCATAGTTACCAATCTCCCCGAAGGAGAATGTGACGGTTTATTTATGTTAGCGCTAAGCCAGTGCTAGGGAAACTGGGCTGTTGTGGAACTATAAGCCCCATTAGGCATTGCAAGACCCTAACAGCCACAGACATGACTCTCAGATGCAGGATGCGAATTGTAGTTTCACCCAGTGGCGTCACAAGGGGGTTGCGGCCCGCACCCGGGTGACACCGTTGGAGGGGTGACGCCAAAATGACTGGAAGTCATTTTGGTGTCACCCCCCTCTGAAAAGTCATGGACCAAACGCCCGACAGTATCAGGAGAGAGAGGAGGGGACCCGGCGGCATACCTTATCCCGCCGCGTGACTGTCCCCTCCTCTCTCTGCCGGCGTCCATCACCAAGATGGCCGCTGGCAGGTATCAGAAAATTGGTGCACGGTGGCGAGTCGGGGGTAACACCCGGTAACCGCTCCGGGTGTCACCCAGCCTCGGGACGACCCTGGTTCCGCAGCTGGAGTGCCGAGGTTGCCTACCCCAGTACTAAAGTCTCACGCACAGCTATGCATGGACAGATCCTGGAAGACCGCTGGCCAGTGTGCATGAAATTGCAAAGGCTGCCTATGTTTTTTGGGCCACTTCAGACGTTGTTCATAAAAACACATGTCTCCTTGGTTACTTAGAGATAAAATACCTGTTGACCCCTAAGCTGGGCTGACTGGCTTCTAAAGGGGTTATTCACTAAGCTGCCGAGCTGAAGTGAACTGAGCCGATCTGCGTTCGCCTATTCACTTCGGTCCCGTATGGTTAATTTCAGCTGTACATTGGCTAAAATCAGCTGTTCATCTGCTGACTTCGGTCAGCCGAACATGCTCTGCATGTTCAGCTGAGCTGAAATTAAGAAGCTGTTCAACTCAGCCGTTCCAACATCTGGATCGGCTAAGCCGAACCTCCAGCAGTTAATTCGCTGCCTTTTGCCCCTATTCCCATAGGGGCTGAACGGCAGTGAGTGAATAGCCTTCCCCTATTCTGCTAAGGGGAACATTTGTATTTCTGTCTGTACTGCTGTTGGGGAGTTCTCTTCACTTCCTGTCTGGAAAAATGTTGTCTCCTTGATAGAAAGTGAGCAGAAACCTCTCTAATGGTCACACCACACATTACAATCTGATTATACAATCTTTGCACAATCAACTTTAGATTTACCAAAACTATGTAATATGAGGACCTTCCTAATCCATCCATCCAATCTGTATCCAATCAGGCAGGCCCTTGCATTATATACTTGTTGGTAGATCTTAAGGATATTGTACAAAAAGATTGTAACATGTGTGGTCATCTTAAGAGACCTCCCCCCCTCCCTTCCCCAGATAGCAGAAAAACCAAACAGAGGTTCTAATCCATCCCCACTCTAGCCATGACTAGGAAAAACGTTTTGAGCGGACACACACTTTAACTGGTCTGATTGCAATGTGCTTGGTTAGTTATAATCCTTTGGGCTTCATATATAAAAGTTCTACCCGGCGGGTGCCATTCACAACACTGGCGCCTCTAAATGGTGCTGATGAGTATGAAATTCAACTTCCTAGGGGCCCCAGTGCTGTGTGAACATTGCAACTTTTATAAATGAACCCCTTACTAATTGCACATACTGACTGCCCTAAGATAATCGCCAACCTAAAGCAAAAAGTATATCTGAAGCCTTTTTTTTTGTTTTAAATAGAGTAGAGAACGGTTAAAAGCGTATCATTTTTTTTGTCACCTATGTCCCATTGGGAAATTTCCCCTCACTTCCTGTCCCGTAGACAGTTGTCATCAGAGTGGATTTCCCCTCTATTCCTGTTCTGGTGACAACTCACATTTTCAGATTTCACATCGCCCTTAGTCCTGGTGACAATGCCCCCCGGGACAAATAGAGAAGGTGAACCTCCCCAATGGGACACAAACATTGATAGAAACCTGACACGGGTTCTGAGCCTTCCACACTCCATCCTACAGGAAAAAGAAATCTGGCTTCCCATACACTTTAAATAAACCTTTTCCAGTCAAGTGGATTATTATATACAGTTATATAAGACGCTTAATCTCCAGCTGGAGGTGCGCGCTTAAATCGTAAATAATCCTAGCCCTGCTGCACAGATCAATTTTATGAGCTTGAAGGCCAATGACTGCATTGCTGCACAATCAATATACAACTGAATGGCATGCCACTCATTATATATTATCCTCCTGGAAGTTTAATATATACATTGACTCTAAATAAAATATTTGTCAGTAAAGACATCTTGCAGTGTTTCTGTTGGAGGATGCATTAAAGGAGAACTATGGGGTTAAGGCTTTTCCCCATAGTTCTCCTTAGGGTAACGGGAGGACACAAACTAGAGTCCTCCCGTCACCCTAGGCTCAGTATACCGCAAGCTGTAGCTGTGAGACGCCGCAGCTGAAGCGGATCCCGACAATTATGCCAGGATCTGCCCAGCTGCGTGAGTGACAGCTGGCTCTGCCTATCTAGAGGGAGAGCCAGCTGTACCCGCCCCTTCCTTGTCCGTTCCGCCAGTCAGCGCTGGCGGAGCGGGGAGGGGGGAATCCAGCCCCTCCCCTGTCACGGCAGAGAGCCGTGACAGGATCGAGAAGTGAGCGAACGTCGGTATGTGTTCGCTCACCTCCCGATCTACTGAGCCGACCTGTGACAGTCTCATTGTTGCAGGTCGGCTAGAACTACTTCGGTCCCGTATGGTTAATTTCAGCTGTACATTGGCTAAAATCAGCTGTTCATCTGCTGACTTCGGTCAGCCGAACATGCTCTGCATGTTCAGCTGAGCTGAAATTAAGAAGCTGTTCAACTCAGCCGTTCCAACATCTGGATCGGCTAAGCCGAACCTCCAGCAGTTAATTCGCTGCCTTTTGCCCCTATTCCCATAGGGGCTGAACGGCAGTGAGTGAATAGCCTTCCCCTATTCTGCTAAGGGGAACATTTGTATTTCTGTCTGTACTGCTGTTGGGGAGTTCTCTTCACTTCCTGTCTGGAAAAATGTTGTCTCCTTGATAGAAAGTGAGCAGAAACCTCTCTAATGGTCACACCACACATTACAATCTGATTATACAATCTTTGCACAATCAACTTTAGATTTACCAAAACTATGTAATATGAGGACCTTCCTAATCCATCCATCCAATCTGTATCCAATCAGGCAGGCCCTTGCATTATATACTTGTTGGTAGATCTTAAGGATATTGTACAAAAAGATTGTAACATGTGTGGTCATCTTAAGAGACCTCCCCCCCTCCCTTCCCCAGATAGCAGAAAAACCAAACAGAGGTTCTAATCCATCCCCACTCTAGCCATGACTAGGAAAAACGTTTTGAGCGGACACACACTTTAACTGGTCTGATTGCAATGTGCTTGGTTAGTTATAATCCTTTGGGCTTCATATATAAAAGTTCTACCCGGCGGGTGCCATTCACAACACTGGCGCCTCTAAATGGTGCTGATGAGTATGAAATTCAACTTCCTAGGGGCCCCAGTGCTGTGTGAACATTGCAACTTTTATAAATGAACCCCTTACTAATTGCACATACTGACTGCCCTAAGATAATCGCCAACCTAAAGCAAAAAGTATATCTGAAGCCTTTTTTTTTGTTTTAAATAGAGTAGAGAACGGTTAAAAGCGTATCATTTTTTTTGTCACCTATGTCCCATTGGGAAATTTCCCCTCACTTCCTGTCCCGTAGACAGTTGTCATCAGAGTGGATTTCCCCTCTATTCCTGTTCTGGTGACAACTCACATTTTCAGATTTCACATCGCCCTTAGTCCTGGTGACAATGCCCCCCGGGACAAATAGAGAAGGTGAACCTCCCCAATGGGACACAAACATTGATAGAAACCTGACACGGGTTCTGAGCCTTCCACACTCCATCCTACAGGAAAAAGAAATCTGGCTTCCCATACACTTTAAATAAACCTTTTCCAGTCAAGTGGATTATTATATACAGTTATATAAGACGCTTAATCTCCAGCTGGAGGTGCGCGCTTAAATCGTAAATAATCCTAGCCCTGCTGCACAGATCAATTTTATGAGCTTGAAGGCCAATGACTGCATTGCTGCACAATCAATATACAACTGAATGGCATGCCACTCATTATATATTATCCTCCTGGAAGTTTAATATATACATTGACTCTAAATAAAATATTTGTCAGTAAAGACATCTTGCAGTGTTTCTGTTGGAGGATGCATTAAAGGAGAACTATGGGGTTAAGGCTTTTCCCCATAGTTCTCCTTAGGGTAACGGGAGGACACAAACTAGAGTCCTCCCGTCA